AATTAGCATGCCAAAACTAAAGTGCGAAATTATATAGATTTAATACCAATTAACACAGGGGAAAAACAGTATATTTCATTGTACCAAAAGAAAAGAATCATAAATATTATTATATACAAAGCACCATGAAGCAATCGGAAGCACTGGATATAACATATAACTGGTGAAGCTCAAAAACACAAGAACACTGACAGATGCTGAGAGGACGGGAGAAAACAAAATTATAAAGGTATCAAAGGCCATGGGACGAGCATTTGAGGAAGTGTAGTAAGATTTGCTGTCAGCCGCCAACTCACAAATAATGACAAGGGGACTTCTTATCAATTAGGAAAGCTTGGCCATTAGCTTTGGCTGGTCCCACTAGCTCTGAGAACTTCAATTAGCCCACTTCTATTAATCTACAGTCTATCATATGGCGCTTCCTCCCTTCCATCTTGCTCCTCCTGTTTACTTTGTGTCTCTTGGCATCTGCCATGCACCTAGATTCCTCCTCCTTTTCCTTTCTCTCCCCAGAAATTCCGCCTATACCTCCTGCTTAGCTACTGGCCGTTCAGCTTTTTTTTTTTTTTTTTTGTTTTTTTGAGACAGGGTTTCTCTGTGTAGCTTTGCGCCTTTCCTGGAGCTCACTTGGTAGCGCAGGCTGGTCTCGAACTCACAGAGATCCGCCTGCCTCTGCCTCCCGAGTGCTGGGATTAAAGGCGTGCGCCACCACTGCCCGGCCTCGTTCAGCTTTTTATTACAACAACCACAGCAATACACCTCCACAGTGTACAAATATCTCATAACAGGAGGTGCTGCAAGGTAAAATTATGTACCCAGAAAAAGAATGGGGTGTGCAACTCAGCAATACTTAGAGGGCAAATCCTCCATCTAAACATGGGATATGGAGCTGGCTGGCCTCTGATTCATCTAGGAGCTTGTTAGTGAGGTTATTGTGTGTGTGTGTGTGTGTGTGTGTGAGTGTGTGTGTGTGTGTGTACCTTTTATGTAGATTTAAAATTAAACAATTTGCCAAATGATGGTGGCACACGTATTTAATCTCAGCACTCAGAAGGCAGAAACAGACAGATCTCTGAGTTCTGAGTTCAAGGCCAGCCTGGTCTGCCCAGAGAAACACTGCTGCTGAAGGCATGTCTGGGTCCATGTTCCTGTTGCAGCTGGGGTCTGGGATGATGTTCACCGCCCCGTGTTACCCACAAGGGGTTATAGAAACCATGCATGTTGAAATCCCAGGACTGGGGTGCATGATGTGAAATACCCAAAGAATCCATAAAGAATTGTATTTTAAAAAAAAAAAAAAACTGTTAAGCTGTATCTACTGAAGGAGAATGTATGCCTGTTCAACATTCCATGATTATGGAATTCCATGATTATGTAAATACTCAAAAGAAATGTAAATAAATATATGCAGAATAAAGAACATGTACAATAAGAAAAAAAGTGAACAATTATGCTCCAACATAATCAAATCTGATTTCATAGAATTTGTAGGGTGTTAAAGTATACTTCAAAAGGGAAAATTGAACTTTCCTGTTTTGCAAAAAAAAAGTATGAGATAAGAATTTTATATATTAAACTTAATAAGCTAAAACATTAACAAACACAAACGTCATTAATAACCAGAAAAAAAAAAAAAGAATTTCTTTTTTTTTTCTTTTTTTGAGACAAGGTTTCTCTGTGTAGCTTTGTGCCTTTCCTGGAACTCACTCTGTAGCCCAGGCTGGCCTGGAACTCACAGAGATCCGCCTGCCTCTGCCTCCCAAGTGCTGGGATTAAAGGCATGCACCACCACCGCCCTAAAAACGAATTTCTTATTAACATCACCAAACATTCCTCTAAGTTTAAAATAGGAAACAGTATGAGGATGGGACTTAAAAAATAGAGAATTAACTCTATAAAACCACATGGTAACACCACAAAGTAACAGAACTTCAATCAATCTCTAAATACTGGATGGCTATTTTGCTGACAAAAATCTCAAGCCTCGGGCTAGAGAGATGGCTCAGTGGTTAAGAGCACTGACTGCTCTTCCAGAGGTCCTGAGTTCAATTCCCAGCACCTACATGGTGGCTCACAACCATCTGTAATGAGATCTGGCGCCCTCTCCTGTCTACATAATAAATAAATAAATCTTTATTAAAAAAAAAAAAAAATCTCAAGCCTTCACTTTTGCAGAGACCAAAGAAAGATCAGACAAATCCCAGATTGCAGAATTAAGAAAGAAAAGTAGCTGGGTGTGGGGGCATGCACCTTTAATCCCAGCACTCAGGAGATAGAAGCAGACAAATGTCTAAATTTGAGGCCAACCTTGTCTACATAGTGAGTTCCAAGCCAGTCAGAGCTACATAGTGAGACCCTGTAGGGAGGAAAGAAGAAAGGGAGGGACGGAGGGAGGGTGACAGCAAGACTGAAGGATATCAAAACAGGAGAGCAATGGGCTTATGAACTGAACTTGAGACAGGTAGCCTGTGGCCAACTGGAATACACTTAGGCTTTCCTATCGACATCCCACAAAACACTCGGCTATTTTAACACCTATATTTACCGCGGGGGGTGGGTTGGAGTATGTGTGTGTATTTTTAACACCTATATTTATCATGGGGGGGTAGGGTGTGTGTGTGTGTGTGTGTGTGTGTGTGTGTGTGTGTGTGTGTGTGTGTGTGTGTGTGTTTGGAATGCATGCCAGATCACCTGCTGGGCAAAATGGCAGCTACAATCAAAATGATATTAGTCACATCAAGTTGATTCTCTACAATGCCTAAGTCGCTATATTTTCTACTAATTTAAAGAAAATAAATCTGGTCAGACCATGAGGAAAATATTAAAGCTGTAAAATTTCCTCAGAATTATGAGATCCCAAAATAGAGCCTTTGACCCCCTAAGTAGCGACCCATCTATGATAAGCATCTTCTTTTTTAAAGTCTCAAAATATTTCCTCAAGTTAAAAAGATTAAAAGACAGGTTCCCTCCCTTCTGCTTGGATATCTTTGGGTTTGTGCCATAAAGCCTGAAGGCTCCCTTCGCTTCCTTTGGCTTAGAAGATGCTAATGTACATTCCAATAACAATCCAGCTCTGAAAAAGGAAACACAAGAGTAAGGAAGGTGGTTCTCCGAAGCCCTCCCAAGTCAAAAGTTATACAAAGCCAGCCATAATAGCTTAGACCTGCAGCCAAGCACTGAGGAGAGGAGGCAGGAGTGTTTTGACAGTGTGAGACTCCCATCTCAAATAAATAAATAAATAAAAGTCCCAACCAGTCAAGGCATGTGAGTTTCCAGTTTGGGGAGATTCTTCTTCCCAGGATCTCTCCAAGATGAGTATTTCCTTAGCAAGTATCTGCCTAATGCCATGAAGCAGACATCCCTTGAACTTACTAAGTAGACAATGTGTTGTTCTAAAAATGTCATTTATAAAACTAGGTAAAATGTTCTTTTGGATAGATTTTTCTAAATATGCCTAGTAGGAAATGTTACAATCAACTTATTAAAGATTTAATTTGTTAAATTTTATATTTAAACTGGCTAGCCAATAATTTATTTTTTGACAATTTCACACATATAATGCATTTTGATTATACTGTTTTGTTACAAGTTATAGTGGCTGATATTAAGTATAGAAAAAAGATGTCTGCAACCCAAATGACAATAAGTTCAGAGGACTCACTCTTCCTAGGATCCTGTAATGGGAGTGAGGCAGAACTTGGAACTAGAGATGGAAGCACCACAACTACCAAGTTCAAAGCCAGCCTTGTCTACAGAATAAATTTGAGACCAGCCAGGAAAATATAAAATAACACCCTGTCTCAAAACCAAAACAAAACAAAAAACAATGCTTCCAAAACAATAGCAAGTAAAGGCTGGCAATGTAGCTCAGTTGGTAAAGTGCTTGCCTGACAAGCATAGAGCCCTAGGCTTAACTAACCCCAGCATCAGATAAACTGGGTATAGTAGTGTACGCCTGTAATCCCAGTACACATAGGAGATAGAGTCAAGAGAATCACCCTCAGCTAAGTAGTGAGTTCAAAGCCAGTCTAGGCTAATTTTGACAACATAAGAACCTATCTCAAAAAAAGTTTTAGTCAACTATTCCCTTCTGGACAGAGGTTCCTGCTTCGAAGAGGAAACTGTCAGACATGCTACAGGACACAAAAAGAAGTGACTGAGAGACTCTAGGCCTGTGGGCTGAAGACAGATCCTCCAACTTTACAAAAAACTTTGGATGACTGTCCAGGCTGCCAGCTGTCTCTGTCTACTCTCACAAGACTCCCAGAAGTTGCTTGCATCCTTCGCCTGTTTCTCAGGTAATATTATAGCCTTCTGAGATCTTTGATGTAGTTGAAGAGTAGATAGTTATAATTTCCTTAGTTATGATAAAAGATAAGTTATATATAAAACCTTAGACTCACAAATATAGGATAGGATGTCTTCTTTAATTCCGCCAAATACAAATAGACTAGATATTGTAAATAGACTAGATATTATAACTGTAATTTTGCTTGATAATTGTTTTGTCATATGTAATTTTACTATGTGAAAGTTAAAACCTTCCTTTTGAAAAAAAAAAAAAGAAAAGAAAAGGGGAAGTGCTGTGGGAAAAAAAAAAAGTTTTAGTCAACTACTGCAATTTAGTCAACAATGTAAATTAGAAAATTCAAGCGTATTCAGCTCCCAATTCCTACTTTAAGCTAAAAGCTAACTAAATTAGATATATAATGATCATACCTAGGCAGTCATGAAAAACTAAGAATTCAGCCTTCAGGCTGAGCACAGTGTTGCATGCCTTTATTCCCAGCACTGGGGAGGCAGAGGCAGGTGGATCTTTGTGAGTTCAAGGCCATCCTGGTCTGTGGAGTGAGTTCTAAGACAGCCAGGGCTGCTACACAGAGAAACCCTGTCTCAGGGGAAAAAAAAAAAAAAAAGAATTGCCCTAATTAACCCAATCCCCTCACGACTAACAATTTGGCAATCTAAACACGTGAGAGAAAACAATCTACGGAGCTTACCTTGAGAGCACAGAAGATGCAAGAGTCGCCCATGCACTTGTGAGTGGTAAGCTGCCGAAAGCTACGGCGGAAGATGTCCAAGTGCCACAAAACCTTGCAAAGCAGGGGACACTCATTAGCCTACAAATAGCTTTTAACTTTCAAGTCAAGAATTCAAGCAAACAGGGAATGGCTGCAGGAGAAAGGATCTTTATGCTCGGGACAAAAGACCATTCTAATACACTAGAACAAATCTCAAAAAGGTAAAGTATCAGGGCTGGAGGAGGCTCAGTGGTTAAGAGCATCCACTGTCTTCACAGGCTCTGGTTCACAGCACCCAAAGCAGGTGGCTCACAACAACCGATAACCCCAGCTCCAGGGGATCTGACACCCTCATCTGGCCCCCATGGGTACACTGTATTCATGTGGACGGACGGGGACACACACACAGACACACAGACACACAGACACACACACACACACACACACACACACACCAAAGAATTTTTTAAAACAAATTAAAAAAAAAAAATCAAAGGAACTTCCCCTGTCGGGCAGTGGTGACACCTTTAATCCCAGCACTTGGAGGCAGAGCCAGGAGGATCTCTGTGAGTTCGAGGCCAGCCTGGTCTACAAAGCGAATTCCAGTAAAGGCGCAAAGCTACACAGAGAAACCCTGTCTCGAAAAAAAAAAGTCATTCAAGGAAAATATCATATAATAAAAATCAAATGTGATGTTGAAGAAGTAGTTTAGGGATTATAAACTGTAGAATTGGGCTGGGGGGTTAGACACGTGGTAGAACACTTTAGCAAATGTAAGGCCAGGTTCCATATAGAGAATTAACTCATCAATAAATGATGCAGAATTAATGGCCTCCACAAGAAAAGGAAGAATACCTTTAAATTTGTATTAAGAGCTTGAACCATAATGTTAAACTTCTACCTTTGTGACAGTTCCTTAAGTCAATAGGATAAATAGTAATAGTGGGCTGCTGAGTGTGTGATATGCATCTCTAAGAGACAAGTATATCTCTGTGTTAAGAAGCCACAGTGAGGGCTGGAGAGATGGCTCAGTGGTTAAGAGCACTGATTGTTGTTCCAGAGGTCCTGAGTTCAATTCCCAGCAACTACATGGTGGCTTACAACCATCTGTAATGAGATCTGGTGCCCTCTTCTGGCCTGCAGTCATACATGCTGTATACATAATAAATAAATAAATCTTTAAAAAAACAAAAACACCTAGGAAAAAGTAGGGTGTTTTGTCGGAGCACATTGTGGCTTTAGACCACAGGCCTGAGTGCAGGTGCCTGAGATGGTCTGCACTTGGCTGTGCCGGGGGAGGAGATCTTTTGCTCCACCCCTTGGTGTTCCTTTAAATACCCTAGGGCAGAGACAGTCGGGCCCAATGGATTAGGACCCAGGCCCTCCCCAAGTCTCTCCTGTATTTTCTATTTGTTGCCCAATGGATTAGGATCCAGGCCCTCCCCAAGTCTCTCCTGTATTTTCTATTTGTTGCTCCCCACTCTATCCTTCTAACTAGTATTTCCAGCTACTCCTACTCAAGAGCACTCTGGGGAAATAGGGGGGTGAGGGATGCCCTCTCAGTGTGTATGGCAGTCCTGGCTGTAATCTCAGTGCTGGGTAGGCAGAGAAGAAGGATCTGCCAGAGAAAACAAGACACTCACACACACCACAACACAGGTACATGGGGAAAAAAAAAGACACTATTCTCAAATACAGTCTAAAATTTTTGAAACAGATTAATAATACTTCTATCATAATTAATCTTCAATTTACAAATTAGGTAACTGACATCAAAAAGATAAAGAGTCTTGCCTAAGATCACAAATGTAAAATATGATCTCAGGTTATGGACTTCAGAAAGTGTCAATTATCACATCTGAAAGTTTCTGCAAACACAGAACCATGAACTAAATATCAGTTGTCACAAAGAAGGAGGTGGCCTTACCTGTAGGGCACTGTTGAGGAAGCAGCTGTTTTGCCCTGGCTCATTGCTGAGGCCTTTGCTGGGGGCAATAGACATTGAGCTTCGAGGTGCAAACATCCCTTGAACACTACCACGGCTTCCTGAAAAATAATTTCTTTTCCAAGACATTATTGTTCACATTAGCCCCAAAAGCACTCATTAAAAAATAAATAAATAAAAAAGGCCTTAATCTTTTTTTGGCAGGGAACTTGTGTTTGCTGAAGCCCTCAAAAGAAAAGAATTCAGAAGTTTGTTTATACTGGAAGACTGATTTTGTAATCTCCCAAGCATCACATATGCTCAAAGAATTTAGGTCCCCTTTAGATCCTCACTTGCCCCGGTGTTCAAAATGTAACTTGGCACATGACCAATGCAGACAAGTCCTTAAGTCCTGCTTCCTTCTATGCTTTTGAAAGTGCTTCCCCAAAGTCCTGGTGAAACAGATGGGACTCCTCAACTCAACAGCATCCGGGACCAGGCTAAGGAAGATAAGCTCTTCAGTCTTCTTTATAATGCTTCTGGTGGGCTCAAGATTTTTCCAGCTGGAAGGAGAGGCAGGGATCCAATATACTCCTCTTCGCCCTCTTAGTGCCTTGTCTCATCATCCTCTAGCAAAACCCAAGCTCTGAACAACTGAAAAGAGACACAAAGCCAGGAAGTTTGTCTGGATTCTGAGGACTGTTGTCGATGTTCCTTGCTGCACCTTTGGAATATGCTCCAAATTTCTTCTGTCCCCTGGACCGGATCTTCAGAAAGGCTCTTCTCTTTTCTTCTGACACCAGAATACCCAGCTGTGCCAGAGAGCTTTTAACAGAAAGGAAAAAAATAAAAAGCTTACGTCACTTAATGACTCTGCTGGCCTTACGCTGTTCAGCCAAAATCAACGTTGCCTCACCTCTCAGTATAAACTTGAAACCTTGGCAAACAATGCCGGGGGCAGGGAGAAAAGAAAGAGGGAAGGAAAGAGAGAAGAAGGGAGACTATGAACCAGCAACAAAAAAGGGAAATGCTAAACTAAAGGGAAAAACAAGTGTAGGCAGCTTCACTTTCATTGGAAACTTCTCTGAAATTTTGAAGAAGAAAGTTGAACTGGACAGAAATAAACACAAACTTTCCAGGAGACTAACAAAGAAAAACAAAAACTCAGAAAGCGAGCACCCAGCGAGGGAGTCTGTCTCCTAGGTGTTGGTGGAAAAGCACTTTTCTGAAGGTGTCATCCATGCATGGTTATGCAAACCTGCTTACAGGTGGGGAGACGTCAGCAGTCTGGGCTGCTTTCTAGGGACATGAGGCTGTCCCAGAGTCACTCATGGTCAGTAGACCACATGTCCTTAGTAGCCAGTCCAAAGACTTAAGCCTTCTGCCTCATCTGTTCACTTGTTTGACTGATTTTTTTTAATTGATATTTTGCCAGAGGATCAGAAAAGTAATTTGAGTCATAAATCACTTGATTCAAAATTATATAAAGGGGCTCAGAATGAAGTCATCCACTAACCAACTTTTGGCTCCAACCAACTAAAATGTCTGTGAGACAAGAGAGAATAGTATCAAATCAAGCACCATTCCCGGAAGGAAGTCATCTCATCTCCAGGTTTTTGTTTGAATGTTTGAGACAGGGTCTCCCCATGCTGGCCTGGAACTCAGAGTGCTAGGATTCAATGTGTGTGTCAACCACACCCAGCACCATTTCCCGGAGTCAGTTCTCTCCTTCCACCATGGAGGCTCCCAGTATCAAACTCTTACCTGCAAGTGCCTATACCCACTGAGTTATCTCAATGACCGACCCACGTTTCTATTTTGAGATGGGGTATTAATATATAGCTCTGGCTGGCCTAGAACTCACAACAAAGACCAGGATGACCTCAAACCTCCAGCAATTCTCCTTCTTGTCCAAGTGCTCAGATTATAGGTATGTACAACCACATCTGGCAAAAGTACTAATTTTCCAATATCTCCTCAAGCTTCCCCTTTAACATCTACTACATATACCTCTTAGAAAATCAGAAATAGGGCTGGAGAGATGGCTCAGAGGTTAAGAGCACTGACTGCTCTTCCAGAGGTCCTGAGTTCAATTCCCAGCAATCACATGGTGGCTTACAACCATTTGTGGTGAGATCTGGCGCCCTCATCTGTATATATAGGAAATAAATAAATCTTTGAAAAAAAAAAAAAAGAAAATCAGAAATAGTCCAGGTGTTATAGCAGGTGCCATCATCTCATCACCCGAGAGGCAAAGGCAGAGTCTGAGGCTAGCCTAGGCTAAATAGCAAGAATATTTCAAATAAATACGTAAATAAAAAATTTAAAGCATAGAAAGTTTGGGTATGGTGACACATATCTTTAATCTCAATACTCAGGAGCAGAGTCAGGTTTATCTGTGAGATGAAGGCCAGCCTGGTCTACATAGTGAGTTCCAGGCTAGCCAGAGCTACATAGTGACACCCTGCCTAAAACAAAAATAAAAACTAAAATGGGCAGGAGAAGTACGGTGGTACACATCCGTAACCCTACTCAACAAGTGGAGGCAGAGGGATCATGAGTTCTGGGCCAGCCTGATCTACATATCAAAACCCTGTTTCAATCAGACAAACAGGAAAATTAAGCTGGGTGGTGTTGGCCCATGCCTTTAATCCCAGCACTCAGGAGGCAGAGGCAGGCGGAACTCTGTGAGTTCGAGGCCAGCCTGGTCTACAGAGTGAGTTCAAGGACAGCCAGGGACACAGAAAAACACTGTCTCAAAAAACCAAAAAAAAAAAAATGCTTTGAGGTTTTAATCACTGTCTAGAACATCTGACACTATCGTCAGTCAGTGTGTCCAGTGGAAAAACTGAGGCACAAGAATAATGACTGGTTGCGTAAGACTGTCCCCCACCCCCCGCCTTTTCTACATTCCTGGGCTATTTATAATCTTCATAATCTACGTGTCATAATTCAAGTATTTGGTTATACCTTGTGCGATCATTCTATTCACTGTTTTTATTACTCTTCTTTTATATAGTATCAGTCATGTACCATATGACTATATAAAATACTATCTAGTATCAAGCATATGATGATACTATACTGACATTCTTTATTTAATCTTCACAACAGCCTACCAGGTGAATACTAATAGTTCAACTTTACAGAAGAAATAAACTGGAACTTAAGGACATCAACTTGCCTAACTGGTATGTGGCAGAGCTGGAATTGGGTGGCTACAATATTGTCACTTAATTATGTATCTTATTACAGTATTCCCAAAGCCCCCATCACAGTGATAATCATAAGGAGGCATTCAACATATATTGCCTGGGGATTAATGTAGAACCAGGAGGAATCCACGCCTCCCCGAAAGACCGTAAGACCCTTACTTCTCTACATATCCCTCATCAACACTAGACTCAAGGCCACTCAGCAACTTCCAACAAGCCATGCCGCATTCCTTCAGCTCAACTGCTGCGAAGGAATAACAAGTACCAAGCCTCCACTTGGCTCACAGCAGAAGGGACTTGGCAGGCAGGTGGGGTTTTCAGTATCGCCCGCCCTGTGACACATACCCGAGCGAGCACAGAGAGCAATGGAAGACAGAGAGCGGCAGAAAGGATTCACAGGCTCTGAATGGTAGCATTATGTGTGGACAGCAGTAAGTTCTCACACTAGTTAAGTATGTCAGAAACTAAAAGTAACAGCCAAAAAGAACACGGGTAAGAATGGCAGGAAAATGGTTCAGGCAAACCCTGATGACAAAAACATTCCACCTCAAATGAAAGGTTTGGTTCGAGGTCTAGCACGAAGTAGTACAATTGTTCTCCGGTGTCATCGACTGAAAAAACATGAGAGTATCTCATGTATATCTCTAGCTACATGGCTCTAACCACCTGTTCTTAAGGAGAAAACAAATCTTTTAAGCAATATTGAACTACAATATAAAATAACATATCTGCCACTCACTCTCAAATGGTACAGACAGGAAGTATGCACATATGTCCACAAAACACATATAAAAGGAATACATAAACAAAACAAGTATGGAAAATGTTAACAAGAGTTGACTCTCATTGAGGAGTATGAGAATGTCAGGCTGGGGACACTTCCATTGACAGTGTCTGCCGAACATGCATAAGGCCTTGGGATCAATCCCCAGCACTGCTTAATCCAATCAATTCCAGTACTTGGGAGGCAGAGGTAGAAAAATCAGAGAGGTCATCCCTAACTACATAGAAAATTTTAGATCAGATTGGACTACATGAAATCCTATTTAAAAAAAAAAAGTGTAGGAGATTTCATCTCACTATTTCTTGTAATTTCTCTTTAAACCTTTTATTTAAGTTAAAAAAGAGGCTGGCAATCTCAAAGTTAGAGAAAAAAAGAAGACAATGACAATAAATACAGAGAAGAGGATCTGAGGAGATGGCTGAGTAGGTAAGGCGCTCGCAGGAAAAGCACAAGGACCTGAGTTTGGTCCCAGCACCACGACCAAAAGCCAGATGTGCTGGAATCCCAGTGCTGGGGGAGGGGAGACAGGAATATCCCTGGGGCATTCTGACCAGCTAGTCTACCTCGAAAATAAGGTAGAAGAGCAACGGAGGATGGCTCCTGTTCACGATCCTGCCTTGAATCCTAAGCACTGGAAAAATATGCAAGTCTAGTGTAATGTCATCAGAAGGAACAAAGGCAGTGATCTAATACAAAGAGGACAAGGACTAGAAGTGAAGACTGAAGACAAGGCTCTATTTCTACACTTTTGTTCCCTTGTTTAATTTCAGGGACAGGATCCTGAACTTCATTTTCAGGGTCTGTAAAACAGACAGAGCATCTGTTTCAATAAATGTAATAGCATGAAAACACTAGCAAATCTGAAAATGAACAAATAATTAATTCAATGAATAAGTGAACTTTGATCCTAAAAGCAAAAAGGTAAATTTTGTTTTAGGGACTTCAGAAAATGAGAAAGTTGTAAGCTACAAGGAACATTTTTTTCTAAACATATATATTTATATAAATATATAAACTTTCATAATTTAAGTGATATGTCAGAACAAACTATATAACAGAAGAAAATTTTGAATTTCATGATTATTCTTTTTTTTTTGGTTTCTCGAGACAGGGTTTCTCTGTATACTTTTGGTGCCTGTTCTGGATCCCGTTCTGTAGACCAGGCTGGCCTTGAACTCACAGAGATCCACCTGGCTCTGCCTCCCGAGTACTAGGAGCCACCACCACCTGGCTTCATGATTATTCTTGAAGTACTAAGTTTAAATTAAGCCAAATAACTGGAGTCTATTGTAAGCAATAGAGGTATACTTAAGGAGGTCTACAAAGGAGATACAGAAATGGTTTAGAGGTTAAAACCATGTATTGCTCTTGCAGAGGACCCATCAGGGGTCTCACAACCACCTAGAACTCCAGCTCCGGGGTGATCCAACGCCTCTGGCCTCCACAGGCACCAGTACTCATATCCACATACAAACATACATTTTAAAAAATAATATCCCCATACAAATATACATAACTTAAAATAATAATCTTTTTAAAGATCTAAAAAGATAAACTATGCTAAACAATCAATGATTAAAGTGAAAATACCTTAGTATGTATGTACATGTTCACGTGTGTTATATGTACACATATATACACATGCATGTAGAGGCCAGAGGTTGACAGTTCATCTCTTCCTTACTCTTCACCTTGTTTCCTGAGATGGGACCTCTCACTAAACCTAAACCAAGTGGCCATTAAGTCTCAGCGATCCCATTTCTGCCTCCTCAGCATCGGGGCTGCAGATGTTTGCTGCTGTGCCAGCTTTTTACATGTGTGCAAGGGGTCCAAACTCAGGTCTGACATGTTTCCGTGGCAAGCCCTAAGTCCACCAAGTCTCAGATCTCAGAACCTGTTTCTAATGGAGTCCCAATAACTCTGACTCCTGATCTTCCTGACTCTACACCCTGAGGGGAGCTTGTGGAACCACCTCTAGTTCTTTCTTTCTTTCTTTTTTTTTTTTTTTTGGAGCCTATCCTGGACTAGCTAGGTAGACCAGGCTGGCCTCGAACTCACAGAGATCCACCTGCCTCTGCCTAATTAAAAACGGAACATATTCCTAAATGGAAAAATTAAAGTATAAAATCTGGAAAAAGAGCAAAAGGAAAAATTGTAACCCTTCATTAGGCAAAAATTCTTAAGAATGACAGTAAAGATATGACCTATAAAAGAATAAAATGTTATATAAACTTGTACTTCACAATTAAGAATGTCTGCTCCTTCAAAGACAAGAGAATGAATACAAGAATGAAAACAAGCCAAAGATTAGAAGACAATGCTTGCAAACATGACATAACGGGAAGTAACATTTAAGGTGTGCATGTTGCGTGTTATAATATATAGTACATGTTGATGGTCTATGTAGTCTGGGTATTACGTATTTACAAAGAAAGAGGGTGAGAGAGAGGGAGACAGTGACTAGTCCTCTCTTGTCACCTTTGCAGTCTCCTAATGTATTTCACCCTCCTTTGTGCTCAATACATTTGAAACCCACATCACGACATCCACACTCTACGTCTGTAGGAAGCACAGTGGTTCTTGTGCTCACAGAGAAGCACAAGGGGAACCAGAAATGGTAAACAGACAGGGCTGTTCCTTCAAAGGAAGGGATGCAAAATCTGTTATCTCCCAGAAGGCAAGACCCTGCCCCATAAACCAAAAGAAAACTATTTAAATTATTCTGCAGGTATGCCCAGCATTTTGCTAACTAAGGACTATTCTCTTCCCACACCCTCCCACACCCATCTTCCCAGCCTTACCTAATATCAGCATTCATTTGGAGGTAGCAACTCATTCTGACAGGGACTAATGATGGTCACATCTTATAATGAGGAGTCACTTATGTTAAGTCACTTTCTGGGGGCCAATTGGGAAGGGCACAAGAAAGAGTGGGGCAGGCAGGGTGAGTATGATCAAAATATATTGTACACCTGTGTTGGGCAGTATTATTTTAAAGTGTGTTACTTTTGTCTATGCTGCATTTGTTTAACTCTGTGAAGCCGTGTTACTGTGCCTGTCTAAAACACCTGATGGTCTAATAAAGAAATGAACAGCCAATGGTGAGGCAGGAGAAAGGATAGGTGGGGCTGGCAGGCAGAGAGAATAAACAGAAGGAGAAATCTGGGAGAAAAAAAGAAGTAGACAGAGGAGAAGGAGGACTCTAGGGTCCAGCCACCCAACTGCACAGCAAGCCATGGAGTAAGAAACAAAGAAAGTATACAGGAATAGAAAAGGAAAAAACCTAGAGGCAAAAAGTAGACGGGATAAATTAAGAAAAGCTGGCTAGAAACAAGCCAGGCTAAGGCCGGGGGCATTTATAACAAAGAATAAGCCTCCATTTATTTGGGAGCTGGGTGGTGGGCCCTCCAAGAGCAAAAATGACAACATACCTGAATCAAAGTGTCATAATGAAATCCATTATGTGTGATTAATGCACACTAATAAAACAATGTTCTTTTCTAACCACACTGCCAATAGTAGCAAACTAGTAACAGGTTGAAAAGAGTTCCAGAGCAATTTATTTGGCCCCTGGAAAGCAAAATAAATAAATAAATAAATAAACATGAATTCCATGAATTTACCCTATATAACCCTCTGGTTAAATCACTAAGAACCAAAGATGTTTTCTCTTTCTCAATTCTTTAAATCACTAAGGAATGCTTTTATAATTTAGATACTTGATTACAACTATTTTATTTTTATTTATTTACAACAATTATTTTACAATCATGAACACATCAGTACCTGGGTTATTTTGCACAATAATGAAAATATAATGACACTATCCACAAGAGGAAAATAGGAGGGGAAGCCAATGACAGCACCAGCTTGACTCATTATTCCTGCTCTGAGAACACTGGTACAGAATGGTACTGGTGACTCCAGTGTGAGAAAGCAGACGCATGACCGGGAAGGGAGGTGGCAGAGGCTACCAAAGCAAGGCATCAGAAAGAAGCCCAAACAAAACCCTCCTCGGGGGAGCAGTAAGACAGGAGCTGCCAAAGTTATCCCACAAGTCTTCGGATTCTCAAATGCTCCTGAACTCTAGCTTCTGAGTCAGTTCAAATTCTAACTCTACCACTTATAGGGAATGGGAGGAACTTCAGTATCGGCTCTTTCAGCTGTAAAACTGTGATAATGGCAGCTACTACTTAAGTGAACAGTATTGGGCACAAAGCATGTCCTTAATTCTTAAAAAGCAGGGGTCATTTTCCTCAGATTGCATGGAGAAGAGGACAGGGAGAAGGTCTACCTATGCACGATTAGGAAAAAATACTATCTGCCTGTCAGGGTTGTAACTGGAATTAGAAATATATGTGTGGCATTTAGCATGGACTAGGAGCTCAAGAAATCATTACTGTACAAGTAAGTTCAACCTCCACTTGAAAAGCAGGCTCAACTAAACAGCAATAAAATCTCAACAAGTTTGTCCTCATATTGCCAACAGCAAAGCCAAAGGTTCTCGCGCAAATGCGCACACACATGCACGTGCGCACGAGTGCACATTTCTTAGATGAGGTCAAAATACATAATTCAAGGAAACAGACACATCATGAAACAGTGTTCATTGTTCAAGTGTCAATGGAATGAGCTGAGCATCAAATATAAAACTTTTTTTTGTTTTGTTTTGTTTTGTTTTTTTGTTTTTCAAGACAGGGTTTCTCTGTGTGGCCCTGGCTGTCCTGGAACTCACTCTGTAGACCAGGCTGTCCTGGAACTCACAGAGATTCACCTGCCTCTGCCTCCTGAGTGCTGGGATTAGGGGCATCCGACTAGAACATTTTATTTTTTTAAAGTACCTAACACCTGAAAGGAACAGGGTCTAAGGACCAAATCTAAGCTAAGAAGCTTTCAGAAGCAATCATCTGAAACGCTCAGCAAACCACTTCCCAGAATGGCAACAACCTCAAAATCCAAATCAATGTTTCCAACACCACTCTGGTGACAGGGAAAGGGAAGTCACTCAGCTTCTGGAAACAACACAGGAGACTGTACAGGTTAGCAACACAACAGGTTACTTCTTTAACCCATATGAGTCTGAGAATAAAGATAAAGACCACAACCTTCTCACAAATAACTTGTTTGAAGGCAATTTAAAGACACTAAGCTTACAACTCTTTCCTTTAAACCTTAGCTCTTCCCTTTAATTCTAATAAGTTCAAATATATATAGGTACACATGTTAGAGAAGGAAAGCAAAATTTCCAAACTTTAATAACTGGAGGAAAAAAGGGCAGAAAGACACAACATAAAAAAAAAAAGTCTTCTGAAAATTGAGTCCAAATCTCAATTTCAAAGTAAACTGTCCCTGTGGGGAGAATAAAAAAAGAAACAAACAACCTCACAAACACTCCCTAGTCCTTATACCCTCCCTCTACACGGTTTTAACACAACTACAATGCTTACCAGACAGCCCATTCGAGCTCAGCAAAAAACTTGCAGCCGTCACAAGGGCATTTGTGGGGCAAGTGATACAGGGCCGGAACAGAGGCAAGGGTACAAGAGGGAGGAGACAAGGACAACTGGTGACAATGGGAACTGTTCATCTAAACCACAAAGACGCACAACACAACAGCGGGGTAAAACTTGGGTTTTGTTTGTTTTTGCCAGGAACTGAACACTAACAATTCATGATGGAGCTAAATGGTACAAAGAACTGAAGGAAGGAACCAAAACTAACTAGGAAGGGCCTATGACAAGCTTCACTGAAGGCTCAGAACAATCGCATGAGGCTGCTTCCTCCAAAGACATTCCTGACGGCAAGGGTCATGAAAAAACACGGTTTGCAGGGTGGCAGCTGCTTCTAAAGGGCCCGCCCTAAAAGAGCCTTTTGTATAGCAACCTGCAAAGACACCTTTGCAGTGCTCCAGAGAACACCAAAACAATGTCGTCTGAACCCTTCATTTAAAAATCCTAATACATCTGCACTTAAACCATTTAAACAGGTAACTCTTCAGCTTTAAACATTCAAATAGGCCATGCTATTAAAGAAATTTAAAAATCATGCAAATAGAAATTATGTAAATTAAGTTGTTGAGACTGTCAGTCCATTTAAAACAAAGCTTGAAATCTAAAGGTTCTTCCACCCTAAAGATGACAAGATCTCCACACCTCTCTTAGGGAACTGCAGTTGGGTCCCACCCTGAAACATGTGATCAGTCAAACAAAACTTGCATTTGCAGGCAGGGCACAAAGGCCCAGAAGACCAACACACAGGCTTCTCTGCATTACTCTGCTTATTAAGCAGCTTTACTGAAATGAGTTGTTTTACAAGCATACTGATGAAAAACCCATCAGCAGAGGTCTTGGCAAATGTGAAAGTGGGTATATTTCTATACCTTGAGAGAAAATACATGAGTTCACAAAAACAAGATTTAATTAAAGTTTATTGGTAAAATTAAACAGCTGTGGACACTGCCCAAAACTAATTAAGTTCTTACATTTTAACAATGTGCTTAAACTAAAGTAGTCCTTTGGCAGCAAAGCAAGTGGCAAGTTTCAAAGAAAAAAGCTATCATTATGTCTCTGGCTCCCTATTAACATTCTAACCAGGTCTCCTAATGCCTAGTGCCAAGGCACAGAGGTGCCACACCAAGGCGAAGCACCGAGTTCTACTGATCAGCGCTAAACACAAAGGGAGACGTACAAACAGTATACTTGTCCTCATCTCTATGACAGAATATCTGACAAAGCAACCTGAGGAGAGACATTTCTTTTGGCTCACAGCAGGGAAGGCTTGGCTGCGGAGCATGAACAACTGGTCCCACTGCAATGGCAGGCAGGAAGCTAAGAGTGCAATCTTGGCACTTAGCTTCCTTTCTCATCTCAATCCAGGCCCCCAATCCACGGTGCTACCCACATTCAGAGTGGTAATGCCTTTTAAGCCTTTCTGAAACATTTCATAGACACACCTTTGGGTGTGTAATTCCATGGTAAATCCAGACAAGTTGATAATGAAGATTAAACATCACAGGCTAGAGAGATGGCTCAGTGGTTAAGAACACTGACTGGTCTTCCTTAGGACCTGGGTTCAATTTCCAGCACCCACGTGGCAGTTCACAGCCATCTGTAATTCTGTTTCCAGGGGATCTTCTGGCCCGTGCAGGCATTGTATTCACATGGGACACATACATACATGCACACTAAACACCCACACACCTGAAATTAAAATAATTTTAAAAATATATTAACCATCAGGAATATAAGGGTAACCCTTGAAGCCATTAGGAACATAGTATAGAGCCCAGCATGGGAGCATACACCTTTAGTCCCACAACTTGGGGACATAGAAGCAGGCAGATCTCTATGTGTTCAAGGCTAGTTTGGGCTACATAGTGAATTCCAGGCCAGCTAACATAGTGAGACCCCATCTCCATTTAAAAAAAAAGACAAAATAGAGCTATATCTAGGGGTATAGGTCAGTGGTAGAACACATTCTTGACATGAAAGACACCCTGGGATCAATCCTCAAAACAACCAAAAGCACTAAGAATTCTAGAAGGGCACTGACTCTGTGGGTCATCTCCATCACTGCAGTAGGTGTGGCCCATTGGGTTCAGTCTTTTTTTTTTTTTTTTTTTTTTTTTTTTTTTTTTTTTTTTTTTTTTTTTACTGCTTTTCTTTATTCTTTGTTTCTGATGTCCATAAAACCAACCTCCTCTGCTTGGCTCATGTAAACACTGTTTTATAGAATAAAGTGCTGCCTACAGCCAGCCAGGTGGTTCACTGGGTACAATCAATGTGACATAAGCTAGATAACCTGAGCTCTGTCCCCAGAACTCATGACAGAAAGAGAGAACAAACTACTCAAAGTTGTAACACACGACACTGATGATGATGGTTTTAAATTGAAATGTTGCTTAATTCTAGAGTTACAAAAAGAAGACAAAAATCTTTAAACTGCTGCGATTTTGTCTACTGAAAGAAACCACAAGACAAAAAGAGTAACATTAGATAAACCGAATTTCATCTAAATTAAAACCTGGGACTGGAGACACAGCTCCACAGTTAAAACAGTCCACTGCTCTGGTGGAGGACCCAAGTTTGGTTCCTAGTACCGACGCTTGGCAGCTTACAACCACAGATAACAATAGCTCTAGAGCAGGGGTTCTCAACCTGTGGTCAGGGATCATGTATTAGATATCCTACATATTAGATATTTACATTACCATTCATAACAGTAGCAAAATTACAGTTATGAGTAGCAACACAATAATTTTATGGTTGGGGATCACCACAACATGAGGAACCGTGTATTAAATGGTTGTAACATTAGGAAGGTTGAGAACCACTGCTGTAGAGGATTCAACTCTCTTCTGGCTCCAAGGGCATCTACACTAGCACATACATACCCAATACAGACACAGATACATATGCATAATTAAAAATAAGTAAGTCTTTAAAATTAAAACTATTAAGATGGTCATTGTGACATGTCTCTCCTCACGTTGCTTTGTCAGATATTCTGTCATAGAGATGAGGACAAGTATACTGTTTGTACGTCTCCCTTTGTGTTTAGCGCTGATCAGTAGAACTCGGTGCTTCGCCTTGGTGTGGCACCTCTGTGCCTTGGCACAAGGCATTAGGAGACCTGGTTAGAATGTTAATAGGGAGCCAGAGACATAATGATAGCTTTTTTCTTTGAAACTTGCCACTTGCTTTGCTGCCAAAGGACTACTTTAGTTTAAGCACGTTGTTAAAATGTAAGAACAATGTACCTTTAATTCCAGCACTCAGGAAGTAGAGGCAAGCAGATCTCTATGAATTTATGACCAGCCCAGTCTTCACAGTGAGTACCAGGACACCCAAGGCTACATAGAGAGACCCTGCCTCAAAATAAATAAATAAGCACAAGGCCCTGGATTCAGTCCTCAGCTCTGGAAAACAAAACAACAACAACAAAAAAAAAAAAACAAAAACACTAAGCAAAAGAAGCCAGTCCACCTATTATATGATTCCATTTATATAAAATGTCCAGAATAGACAAATATACAGACAGAAAGATTACAGGTTATCTACAGCAGTGAGAGACTGAAGTAAACAAAATGACTGCTAATATGTACAGCATTTCTTTGTTCTAAAGTGCTTGTGGTATTGGCCACTCCGAATATATGAAAATCACTGAACTGTATACTTTAAATGCCTGAAATGTATAGCATGTGAATTATATCTCAATAAAGCTGCAATTTTGCCAGGTAGTGGCGGCACATGAGTTAAATCCCAGCACTTGGTGGCAGAGGCAGGCAGATCTCAGTGAGTTCCAGGCCAGCCTGGTCTACAAAGGGAGTTCCAGGACAGCCAGGACTGTTTCACAGAGAAACCCTGTCTCAAAAACCGCGGGGGGGGGGGGGGCGCATTTTCTTTTTTAACAGTTTCTCTTTTTGCAAAACAAGACACTCTTTGTTTCCAATCTGTGGATTAAATTAGGTCTCCATAAACAACAGCAGCTGCCACCTGGTAAGACTGGATGGCTTCATATACTTGGCAAACAAGTTCGGTTTGTATGTGCCAATTTTGAATAATTGTTTTTAAAGAATAGGTAGGAAAAGCAGACTGTGCATTCTATTCTTTTGCTATTGTCATTTAAATCAGAAGAGAACACAATCACAATTCCTAGCCGAGAGTCAGTATCAATACCATTTACTACACATAGTCCATGGTGCTGGAGGAAAATAATCCTCTCTGACTTTACAAAAGAAAAAGGACTGAACATGTACTGAAATGGTACAGCAGCAGCAAACGTCAGACTAGTCCTGGGTTGAGGTAGAAGCCAAAACAGATGAACAAGGCAGCTGAGTGATGCCTGCTAGACACACCCACTGCTCAACAACCACCAACATTCCACTTCCTGTTTGTAAAACTTCCCCCTCCTATGTATTAGGCATATTTCCCTAGAGTACTCACTTAGGAGTCAAAGGAAAACCATCTGATAAACAATCTGACCATACCCGGGCTGGCAGAACACAGGGAGGTGAAGAAGCTTGGAGCTGGAGGGGGCAGAATCCACGCACTTGGGAGGCTGAGGCTGAGGCAGGGAGATGGTGAGGTCAGACTACCTAGCCAGACCAAGACCAAGGGTGGGAGGAGACGAAGGAGGAGGACAGAGAGAAGAGGGGAGGGAGGGAATTAAAATCTATATATTCTTTCTTTTTCTTAAATTATGAGTGTGTGTGTGTGTGTGTGTGTGTGTGCGCGCATGGGTGCACAAGTCCATGTGAGTGTGTACACCCTCACCTATATAGGTGAACAGAGGTCAAAACACAACCTGCAGGAGGAGTCATCTCTCCTTCCACCATGTAGATACCAGGAATGGAACTCAGGTTGTGAGGTTTGACACCAAGCGCCTTTTCCTGTTGAGCCATCTCAATGGCTTCTATATTCTTTAAAATTAGGGGGAAAAAACAACAAGAGAAAAAACATATCTGGAGTTCTGTGAGGTTAAACACTGTAATGCTTACACGGTCAGATAAATGTAATCTTTACAAATTGTGTATAAAATATTCTAGTTCTTTACAATGACTGGAAAACTTGCTGTCAAAATATGAACACTGAT